TAGATAGTATCTCAGGTGATTGACCAAACGTAGGTCGGGGTAAGGCCTGGTTAGTCTAGTCATTTGCCTCGCAATTATTCATACAAGAAAATTGTAAAGGCTTTGTTTCATCCGCATTTTATGATTCAGACAATAGGTGTCATTTTAACTAAATTTAGTAAACGAATACATACTTTGATAATAACTCCTTATTTTTTTTAGTTTTATAGTCCAGTTCAGACTCAGAAATATTTCCATGTGGCCAATTGAATCGATTGACTACGTGTCAAACACTTAAATTTGGAAAACGTGTACATAACTAAACAAGTTGATAATTTGCCAGACTCCTCAGGGCGCAGCCCAAGTGGTACAAACGTTGATGAATTGGAAGCATGGACAATTAAACACTCAAAGCCGGTTATTAAAACAGGGTTTAGACGTTGTTTAACAAACTGCCTTTTAGGCCCTTTAAGATTTGGCCAACGCACACCTAAACATCGTTTGCTATTCACAGCGTCAAGAGGGCTTAGCCGGACTAGAAAACCATTCATCTACAACCCCTACTTAAAATATAGGTACAAAGACTGTATTGCAAACCTTCGAAGGAAATCCATTGTCAGGCCCAGCATTAACACTGAACGTTTCAAAGATAGCTTTTTTAATAGATTAATTTTTAAATATAATCTAGCTGTGTAAATACCCCAAATGTATTTTTAATCAATTTAATCTTTTTTATTCGTCTTAATCATTGTAATTTTTTTTTCTATCAATATATATTTTTACTGTAGCATCAGATATGTTATTTTATCGGATGCTTTTTAATAAAGACGTTATTATTATTATTATTATTATTATTATTATTATTATTATTATTGTTATTATCAAAATCGCGCTGCAAAAGTGATTGATGAAGTATATATTCGTTTATGACACTTTTTCCTGAAGATTAAATGTGGATGGAACGAAAACTTCCACAATTTTTTTGTATGAATAATTGATCATGAGATGCAAATGAGCAGACCAACTTGGCATTGCCCCGTCCTTACGTTTGCTCAAATTGAATGTCATAATTAGGAAATTTAACATGGGTACCTTAAAATTTGCTGAACTAGAGAAACTGCTAAAAAGCTGTGCTTCCGACTATGTATAGATTTGTTGCAGATCGCAATGACGAACAGGCCATCGCAATGTTTATGAGTAACCACAAAAGGAGAGAAGCAAGAGCGTACCGTGAGAAATTCTGATGCTCACTTAATATACGTTCGTTGTAGAGAGTAACATTATTTTTTCATATTTTCAAGCGATTAAAATTACCCTATTAACTAAATGTTTCACAATTCTTTCAAACGCTACTTCTTGACGAAAACAACTTCGTCCATTTGTCCCTTTCATTTAACATTAATGACCTACAGTTAAAACAGTTGGCAGTGTCAAATTGCCTTGCATAATTCCTCATGCAATATTGCTTTTAAGGAGAATTGTAGTTTCATACCATATATAATTTTAACTATCTTGTGCATAACACGACCCCACAAGCTTAATGTTATCTCATTTGATGAAGATGATGATGAGAGTTGTAAATTCTTTATTGTAAATATCCTATTATCCACCCCGCAAGCCTCCCCTGCCCTAGCCTGCGAAAACATTCGTTTCTCCTTGCTCTTCGCCGCTGGGGACGTTTCGCGTTGTTCTCCGCGTTTTCCTCAGCCCCTCCCTGCCCTCCGGGACTAATCACAGATAATTTGCACTATCTGTTAGTGGGACTTCTGCCACACTCCTCAGGCGCAGTTTGCAATCGTGAAGTAATGAATTATGAATGCCCCTAAAGTGAATCCAGTACGAATTCGAGAAAGATCCCCACATCGCGGACTACGTAGCCTACTCTTTACAAACAGCACTAGATACCTTAAAGAAGTAAAGCCCCGCCAATTTTAAATTCCCCAATTATTCAAGGTAATTCTCTTATGTCGGCAGGACTGAACTCTGCAACGAAATTTACAAAATGAACGATTTTTCGTGATGGCCTTGCGAAAACTGCAAAACTTACAATATTCACGATTTTTGGTCATGGCTTTAGGACAATTCAACCAAATCTTTATCCTTTTCAAAGCGGCGCTGCGGATTTTACAATTTTAACGGAAACTGCAAAATTCACAAATTTCGTATTTTTTCGTCAGATCTTTATGCGAATATGTCACAATGTTTCTCCCTTTGTTCTGTACATAATAACAGTGGCGGATCCAGGGCAGTGGCCCGGGGGGCCCGGCCCCCCCTATTTTTAGACTGAAGGGCCCCCAAAAAATTTTTAAGACCCCCCCCCCCCCCCCCCCTTCCCCGACCTCCACTTTCTCGGCCCCCCCCCCAGAGAGCCACACCACAACAACCACCGGGTGATTGACCATCTTTTAATTTTATGAGCCCCTTGAACAGTTTATTTTA